GTCCGAGGCCCGGGGATTAGGGACCGCTGTTGTCTATGAAAACATTTAGGGAACGTTTAAACATTCAAAGTGAGAAAAGGAGAGTTTTCCACTGGCTGGCTCATAGTTCATCTAGCATCGCTCCAGGTATCTTATAGCAGCAGCCTGGAGAGCACATCATTATCTAAATTACAGGTTGTCTTATCTAAAATATAAACACGAGCTAATGATCTAAGTAAATATTAGCAGACAGACTGTTATGGGTGCGTGCATCGAGTCCAACATGGTTAAAACATCATCTGATCTCCCAAAGTCCCGGACGGCTACGCAGGACCTTTGCGATACTCATCCCCAGTGTTAACCTGTTGCTTCTTTGCGCTTCCGAGGGCCAAAACTAAGGAATCAGTCCAAATGAGATCATACAAACTCTCTTCCTCTTTCTCTCTCACTAACATTCACTTATACACACAAGTGATCAGTATAAGCTGATTGGAGCTGCTAAGCTGATTGGAACCTTCCGCTGCCGAGGCTTGTAGCTTAAATGTACTTGTGAGAAAAAAGAAGAAGAGTACATTACAACAAATGCAGAGAGCGAGTGACGACAGTCAGCTTAAAATGAGTGCATGTCTGTACGCACACAAATGATGCTTCATTTCTGTTCAAATCAAGCCGTTCTTATAAGTTATTGTGAAAAAGCCTTTAAGAGAGTAGCCAGTGTCCAAAAGCAGGTTTTGTTTGTAGGTTATATTAAGAAAGCTCAACAATGAATCACAGCTCGTAATTATTAATCAGAGGTCATAGCCTGTTGACACACTTAAAATAAGTCAGCTGCTGGGCTTAGCAAGGCTTTGTCTAAAGCAGGAAATCAATACGAGTCTGGCATTTCAATTAAGAACAAGTTTTCTTTGCTTGCTACTTGTACTTCTGTAATAATCTGTCACTATTAGTATGTAAAGCCCATGTTAGCATGTTACTGCAGTGTCCTTTAGTGTAGCCGTGCTGAATAAAGGCTGACTTAAGCGCTGGAGCTCAGTGCTACCCACTGCTGCTTGTGAATATTTTTAGGCAGCAGGACTGTCCCCCTCACTTTTCTTACAACACTATCACAGCCCATCTGAATGACATGGAAGCTGTCTCTATGTGGGTGTGTATGCGATGAGTGATGCAATAATCTGCTGTGTCCCTGACATTTTCCACACTAATCAATCACTCATTTCTCTGTTCTCTCTCTCTCGCTCTTTCCTGCAGTAGTGGAGGTGAAGAGCAGCCTCCCATCAGGCATGCAGAGCCCAGTAGGAACAGCAAGCGAGCAGAGAGGAGGAGGAGGAAGTGGTGGAGAAGGTGGTGAGTAGGGAGTCCTCTAAGAGTCCTTGAAGTGGGAGGTGTGTGTCTGTGTGTGTGTGTGGTGGTACAATTTTTAAAAAATAACCAGAATGTGGGAAGTGAAGTGTCTGACGCTCGCAGTGTGCCTAACGTTCCTCAGCCCAGCGAATGACATACATACCTATGGCTATGTATGTCATATGTATCATGGACAGTCGTTATCGTGATGTCACCCACCGGTTTGGGAAGTCCTGGTACGAAACTTTCAAATCAGAGTTGGTGTTTGTGGGTTTTTACAAACCCCTGTGATGAGCGAGGGGGGGTCTGACTACAACGTGCCGTTCATCAGCCAGTGTAGAGTGTAAAATCCTTCTTTAGTAATATCAGAATAACCGAAACTGGGCTCAACATAGACTCATATTCAAAGTGTTTACAGAGGTCATTTTCACATGGACCACAAAAAGTGTGCAGGAATGAGGCAGCCAATCAGGACTGTGCTTAGCCTTTACATTTCAAACACAGGCCTGATTGGATAAAAAACCAAACCTTCTCCAAAGCATCCCTTCTTATTTTAGCAGGTTGTAAGCATCTGTGGGACCAGTTGCTGGACTTCAGGGGGAGGAATGTTGTGCCATTCCTGCCTGATAGATTTGAGCAGCTCGAGTCCTGGTTCTACTTTCTTCTAGTTTTCAGTTTAATGAAGCAACTGTTCCAATAGATGCAGGGTACAGTTTAGCATTGCCTTGCTGAAATATGTAAGGCTTTTCCTAAAAAACATCAACTGGATGGGAGCACACATTTCTCTTAAACCTGTGTATAGTTTTCAGCACTGATGATTTACAGATGTGCAAGCTTCATACCTTCATACCAAGTGAGCACTGATACTGACGATCTTTCGTTTGGAGGACTGAGCTTCTGTTTTTGCCAAACAGAATTTCAAATTTCTAATCATCTGAAGACAGAAAGGTTTGCCTCAGTCCATTTTACATGAGAAGACGGTGGTGTTTAACGATCATGTTCACATAGTGCTTCTTCTTCTTCTTTGCACAGCTTTAACCTAAGTTTGTGGATGGGACGGTGCACTGTGTGCTGAGAACCTGAAGAACTGGTTTTTGGCCTTATCCTCTTTGCACAGAGATTTCTCAGATTTTCATAATCTTTGGATATTACTGCTTTATGATAAGATATTCAAAGTTATCACAATTATACATTGAGGAATTTTTCCAAAGACCCAATCCTGTTACTGACGTGTTGCCAATAAACCAATGTTGTTCCAGCTCATTTTATTAACACTTACCTTTGCAGCCTTTAGTTTCTCTTTTTTGTTGCTGCTGCCAGAATATAATATTTTTCATAAAATAAATAAAAGGTCTCAGTTTAGCTTTTAAATAGTGTCCAGTGTGATGGCTGCTGTAATGTATAATAATTAGGAAATGGAAAAAATGCAGTAATTCAAATCAGACTGCAGATATACAGAATCAGAAGCTCAGCTGTGCATTTGGCTAAAGTTGATGCCATGTTGTTTGTGACATTTCCAGGTGGGAGTCCAGGAGAAAGCCCGGGAGGAGGAGGAGGAGGAGGCCCGGTGGACCTGCGAACTGAGCCCAGGGTAGGGTCTGTCTCCGGGGGTGCAGTGGTGGACACAGCCATGAGAGAGCAGCAGCTCCAGCAGGAACTCATTCTCCTCAAGCAGCAGCAGGAGCTGCAGAAACAGCTGCTGTTTGCAGAATTTCAGAAAAAACACGAAGTGCTAACAAGGCAACACGAAGTCCAGCTGCAGGAACACTTAAAGGTGAGCTGAAGCACCGGCTCTCTTATCCGCTGCCTTATTCCAGAAACCATTCAATAACCCGTGTGTGCATTTGTGTGTAGCAACAACAGGAGCTGCTGGCAGCCAAACGACAGCAGGAGCTGGAGCAGAAGAGGAAGCTGGAGCAGCAAAGACACGAAGAGCAGGAGAAACAACGGCTGGAGCAGCAGCTGCTGCTGCTGAGGAACAAGGAGAAAGGCAAAGAGAGTAGGTCATCCTGATGCTACTCGCAGACCACAGGCTGTTTGCATACAGACAGGGAAGTGGCCTGATTGCTTTGTGTGTTTGTGTGTGTGTGTTTTGGAAGGTGCCATTGCCAGCACAGAGGTGAAGCTGAAGCTGCAGGAGTTCCTTCTCAGTAAGAAGGAGCCTGGTTCTGGCGGACTAAACCATTCCTTCTCCCCAAAGTGCTGGTGAGGACCCAAACTGTTTCAGAGTGTGTGTGTGTAGTGTTTCCCACTGATGGTTTGATCTTCTGCATCAGAACTAGAGCCTCATATAACACGCACTTAACGCACTTCGCTATGAAAACAAAACAGAAATAAAACAAAGCAGGACCTGAGAGATATCGAGGAAGCACTCTTCACTTTCCAAGCTGAGGAGAGTGTGAGGCTGCTGTTTTACCCGCGATATCACAAAGTTGTGTTTTCGTTGTCTGGATGTAGAGAAATAAGGACTAAAACACACATGGTTTTGGTTTTACACAGTTATACCTCGTTACCATGGTTACATGTAGTATTTGAGGGCACATGATGCAATTTGGTGAGCAGCTCTATCTCATTAACCTCTTAAGCCCCAACGCCCCCTGATACGGGGGCAAAAGGCAGGAGATCAGTTAGGCTTGGGGCTTAAGAGGTTAAATTGACAGTATGCAGTTAATGTACTAGAGTCATGTCTTAGGTCACTGGATAGTAACATAATCACTGTGACACGGCGGTATGTGCATGGTGCAGTGATGCACATGCAAATCCTCTGTGCTATGGCTCAGCAATAGCAATAGTAAGCAATGTTTATCTATGTGGCACTTTTCCAGACACGAGTCACCAAGTGTTTTATGGAAAACGCTGTGAATAATGCAAACAGTGAGAAAGAAACATGAGGAATAACTTGAGAATACTGCTCGGATAATTAAAGAACGTGGACGTTAGTTAAAGAGAAGGTACAAAGACAACAACGTACACGGCAAAGAAGAAACCGGACTGGTGCAAAACATCCGAGGACCGAGTCTTCGGCTGACTTTAACGAGGTCACAGCAGAGCTCACAGGTGCAGCCGTCCACAGGACTCATGGTTCCAACAATAATGTGACACTGTTAGAGTTGAGTGAGCAAGCTCAAGGGTGAAGATGACGAATTTAGGACACCATGCAAGGGAGCGTGTGATGCTCTGGAGGAGGAAACATTCAGACTGGATCCTGAATGCAACAGAGAGACGTTGAGGGTCAAGCTGGGCATCGATTTCCACTTCTAATCGATTTGATTTGAATCAATTTTGACTGACAGTCAGAAATACAGTGGAACCCCGACTTACGAAACTAATTCGTTCCCGAGGGTCATAAGTTTCGTAAGTCGAAGCACTCATCGCACATTTTCAGTGAACGATAGGCTACAGGCTAATTGCTAACTGCAACAACAATACGTCGTTCAAGTGGAACAGCGAAGCGCAAGTACGAAAGCCAAGGGGGTTGTCACATGATTCGGAAGGCATTGTTGGCTCAGCCAATCAGAGCCAGCGGATTTCGTTACGTGGGCATTTTGCCGTAACACGGACAGAAATATTGCCGTTAAGTCCCTGCGTAACTTGAATTTTTTGTTAAATGGGGTATTCGTAAGTCGGGGTTCCACTCTATTATATTTCTGATCATTTATCAGCACTGACACTGGGGTTTAAACATCACAGCAGATGCCTTTGTGTCAAAGTATCTGAGGATAAAACAGAAAAAACATGAAGGAGATTTTCCTGGCCTGGCTTTTTATAGCAGGTGACCTTAAAAATATTCTGCGTTAGATCAAAAACTGAAGAAAACCATGAGTCGACATATGAGCATTATCTGATGCTGCTGAAGTGAAGCAGAGCAAAGTTACAGAGGTTTCATTAGAGACACAGCAAAGCAATTTGGAATTTGGCATCATTTTAAAAAATTGACATTTCTTCGGTATTGAACAGCAGAAATCAGGCGTTCTTGTTGGAGGTCGTTTGTGTACAGCGCTGTACAAAACAGTAATAAGCAAGTTAATAATGCAGGAAACAGAGATTTGAGATGGGAAACTGTTCTTGAAGTACACTGAGAGAGAGAGGAAGTGCAGGAAGTGGGATTTTATCGTGGTGGAAGCAAAACAGCAAAAGTCAGAGGGAATCCATGACGATGTTTATCAAACGTGAAGCAGAGTTTGGATCTTTTGCTGCTGGTTCAGTGGATTTTGGTTGGAGAGCGACAAAACCTGCAGCATCAGAATCTGTGAGCTGTCGGCTCTCAGGCCCGGCGGCGTGTCCGTGTCCGTGCCGTCGGGTGAACGATCCACGCTTTGTGTTTACATCTTTGTGTGGAATC